TTGACCAATTGACCAATTTGACCAGACCAATTTGACCAGCAAATTTTTGCTTGACCACTGATTTGCCCAACACTGATAATTAATATTAATATCAGCTAACTTGTATATAATTGAGAATTGTAATAAATTAAAACAAGCAAAATATTTTTATTTTGAATATACTCACATTTATATAAAATAATAACAGATTTATAAACTACAATTGTTTTATTAAGAGAATTAAATTCTAAACTTATACTTGAAATTATTCAACTTAAAAAAAATATGCTAAAATTGAAACTAAAAAGGTTGAACTTAAGTTTAAAAATACTAAGTTTATAAAACAGATTATGGAATAAAACAACAAATACAAAGCTTCCTAACTCTAACGCCAATTTAACCAAATCCACTTCCACTTACGACATATATATTCAAATTCAGGACCAGTCTGACAAACTTTGAATCAAACTCAAACCAAACTCAAATTTAACTAAAAAGTTTAAAGCATTAAGTTTGAGTTTGATTGAAAATCAGATCAAACTCAAACTTAATTAAAGTTTGATCCAAGCTTGATTTGTAGAAGCTTTACCTATTACAATATTACAACCGTTATACCTATTACGACCATTACAACTATCACAGCAAGAACAATTCCAACTTAATAAAAAGTTGCAACCTTCCAACTTTACTAAACCTATTACGGCATGCAATTCAGTGAATGCAAAAAATTTTCTCTGTATATTCGTATTGGAACATAATCAATTCATAATATTTAATACAAATGGCCAATTTATAATGTTTAATACTAGGCAACTCATTTTTTTTGAAAAAATTATAAATTCTAATCGAGTTTACATTTCAAATCTACGAACACATTAATTAATAATTAACGTTAATTGAAACATGATACGTACCGTAATATCTCGAAATAACGGGCATTGGTATTATTTTGAGTTATACCCGAATTAAGGTTACTTCGGGCTGTAACGCCTATGCCCACTATTCAAGATTTTAAGGTAACGTAGATTGTAGAAAGCAAGGTGTATTTTTCAATTATATAATAAAACATTTTGAAAGATTTGCCGAGGGATCATCTATACTAGATTTGACCCTCATTTTTTATCCCAAACCAGCGTTTAATCTTCTCTACAAATCCAATTGCTTCTTGAGGTTTAGATGTTACAATACTTGGATTGCTTTGTTTTGAATTTGTCTCCGATAAGTTATTGCTCGATTTTAAATTTGTTTCCGATAAGTTATTATTGCTTTGTCTTAAATTTATGTCCGACAAGTTATTATCTTGTTTTGAATTGGTTTCTGACAAGTTCATGAACTTTCGTGCAGTTTCTCCGTCGAGCGTGATACCAGCTTCACGAAGTTGCGCGTCAATGATAAACAATTTTGCTGATACCTCTTTGTCACTCGCAAGCCTTGCCATTTGCACCATCGACGGCTTTTGACCGCTACTAATATTAAAACCTTTTCTTTGTAAGAGTTGAGCTAATTCTTGGATAGATGAGAGAATTCTTGGATTTGAACGAATTTTGGTGACAAATGGATCATTCGGATCAATTCTCATATTATCTAAGCCAAAAAGGGTTCTATTCGTGCCATGGAACCCGCGATATTGATAATGATAACGACGGACAAAATATCGAAAAGACATTGCCATTAATTTAGCTTTTCAGTTGCTCAGTATCATAAAAAAAAAAAAAATTATCGCTATAGATCAGCAATATTCATATGTTACACGACTGGGATATAGTTTTAAATGTAGAAAGTTTCTTAACATACATGCTATATAGAATAATTTGTAAATCCGTGTAACACAAGATAAATTAGATTATTGTTGGATTTAAAGTCTACGTACTAAATTTTCCTTTTTTTTTATTAGTAAATTTTAAGTTATTTTATATATATATTTGTATTTCATACTCAATATACGTATGTACTGTATCAATTTTTTGAACTATCGTATTTTCGTGAAATAATGCCCATGAGCGTTATTACAAATTTTGGCCGAAATAAGCTTAATTTAGACCAAAATTCGAAATTACATCCCTGCGCGTTATTCCGCGAAAATACGGTACTAATATTTAAATTTTAAAAAAAATTTTATACGTATGCATTTTTTCGATTAAATTAAATTTTAATGATTTTTTTGCATAAATTTACATATAAAATTTAGTATGCCAACTTATTTGACCAAGAATAAATATCAATAAAAATCCCTGTAATATGGACATGTTCTAAGACTATAAACCAAGTTTAACATAGGTTTAGAACCTAAACTAAACAACCTTTGACGTTACTACTTTCGATTTTCTATCACGATGATAAAATTCTTGCAAAATTTTTTGTGGTATACGATTCAACATTTCTTTAGGGAAAATACGAAGAATCGACCATGCTTGATCTAAAGATTCATAAACTGTTCGAGATTCATATGCACCTAAAATGATAACAGTATTAGAATATAATAATAGATACAATAATAGTAATAAAAAAAAAAAAACATATTACCTTGAGAGATATATGTTTTTTCAAACTTTTCCAAAAATTCTAAAGAAAGTTTATCTTCTTGATTAAGAGCCTCTTCTCCTACTACTGCCTTCATAGCAGCAGCATCTCTACCAATGGCGTACTTAGCATACTATTGAGTTGAAATTTTGGTTTAATAAAAGTACCTAACACGCAATAAAATACTGAAAATAACGTAATTTTAAGCACTTACAAGCTGATTGGAAACGTCACCATGATCCTTTCTTGTCATACCTTCGCCAATTGCAGATTTCATCAATCGAGAAAGAGATGGCAAAACATTAATTGGTGGATAGATTTGACGATTATATAATTGGCGATCAACGAAGATTTGACCCTCTGTAATATATCCTGTCAGATCAGGAATAGGATGGGTAATATCTTAAAAAAAAAAAAAAAAGTAGGTTAAATATGATTAAAAAAATTTTTAAACCATTACTAAAAATAAAAATATAAATAATAATGAATAATAATAAATAATAATACCATCGTTTGGCATTGTTAAAATCGGGATCTGCGTAATACTTCCGTTTCTTCCTTCAACACGACCTGCACGTTCATATATAGTAGATAAATCAGTATACATATATCCAGGATATCCACGACGACCAGGTACCTCTTCACGTGCGGCGGAAACCTAAAAAATTTCTAATTTTTAAACAAGGAATCATCCAAAAGTATAAATTAAATGCATTGTTACCTCACGTAAAGCATCTGCATATGAACTCATATCAGTTAAAATGACCAAAACGTGCTTCTCAAGTTGATACGCATAATATTCGGCAGTAGTAAGAGCCAACCGTGGAGTAATAATACGTTCAATGCTAAAAAATGGTATGTACTAATTACAAAAAAATATATATAAAATGAATATAACCAAAATCTCTTTTTTTTTTTTGAAAAGTAAACATACGTCGGATCATTAGCCAAGTTTAAGAATAATGAGACACGCTCTATAGAGCCATTCTCTTCAAAATCTTGTTTAAAGAAACGAGCTGTTTCCATATTCACACCCATAGCCGCAAATACAATAGAGAAATTGTCTTCATGATCATCAAACACACCCTTGTCGACTTTTTTAACAAGACCAGCTTGACGGCATATTTGCGCAGCGATCTAATAAAATGTATATATCAGGTGAGTTCTTTAAATAAAAACTCCAAAAACTATAAAATAACATTACCTCATTATGTGGTAGACCAGCAGCAGAGAAGATTGGAATTTTTTGACCACGCGCTATAGAATTCATTGTATCTATGGCAGATATACCAGTTTGAATCATTTCTTCCGGGTAGATACGTGAAAATGGATTTATTGGAGACCCTAAACAAATACTTAAGAATTTAATATTTAACAAAATTTGATGCTTAAAGTCACACACATAATTATATTTATATTATTTATACTAACCGTTAATGTCTAAAAAATCTTCTGCAAATACTTTTGGACCTTTATCAATAGCTTTCCCGGATCCATTAAAAATACGACCTAACATGTCTTCCGATACGGGAATCTTTAGGGTATCACCAGTAAATTCGACATGAGTTGCTTTGGAATCAACACCTGATGTGCCTTCAAACACCTTAAAGGTAAATTATACAAAATTAAAAGAACAATTTTTATAGAAAGCGTATTCATTTTAATTAAATGATCATAAATACCTGAATAATAGCTCTCTTGCCTTGAATTTCCAAAACCTGACCAGCACGAATACTACCATCTGGTAATGTCAAGTTTACAATTTCTGCAAATTTAGGAAACTTTTATGATCGACAAACAAAGCATATAACTATTAATTTAAATGTGTTAAAAAAAGAAAAAAACGGTGGATTATAATATTACCTTAACATTGTCTAAAACAACGAGCGGTCCATTTACACTAGCTACAGTTCGATAATCTATGATTGTATGTCAATTGTGACAAGTAGAGTCAGTTATTTTAAAGCAGTGATATGCAAATAAAAATGATTTCAAAATGCTGATTGTCATGAAATCTTTTGAACGAGTTAAAGCAAATTGCTTTAATATATTACATATTAGTACCCAGGACAGGGTACTTTGTGGGAAAAAAAAAGAAAATTACCAATTCGTGGTGTGACAGTATAGTTTCTCGTAGCGGCTGCAGCATTAATGTTAAAAGCTTCCATTATTTCGACCGCAATAGAGTAGTGTTTAGCGGACTCCTATTACGCATAATTACCTATAAGATAAGATCAGATGATAATCAGTGAACACAATCGTGCCTTAAAAAGTTAAATATCTTATTAGATCTCTAATACATAGGGTTGTATAACATGTAATTTTTTATGTAATACAGTAATAAGTAAAAGGTAATTTATTTAGTAGTGGTAGGGAAAATTAATTTACGTAATTATCATGTGTTCGATGTTACATTACACTAAATTATGTAACGGTAATTCATAACTCTTATTACTATTCGGGTAAGTTTTTTTTTTGTTTTTTATATATAAAATTTTTTGAAAATAAAATTAAAAGCTGGGTTGCTAGGCCACTTTTAAAAATTGTTATGAGAACCGATTAAGTTTATATGGCCTAATTAATATTATATAACAATAACTATAAATGAATTGCTTAAGAGTCTGATATATCGGATCCGGTTCATTTTCACCGAAAATCAATTCACAGATAGTACGATTCATCAACCTTAACTCTAATTCCAACCTGACAATGACTAGAATTACTTTGTCGGTGAATCGTACTGTCGGTGAAATGAACTTGTCGGTGAATTGAATGTCAGTGAAATGAACGGAACCGGATATACCAAGCTATCAAAGCTCATCTCACATTGCAAAGAACTATAAGTGATAGGTCAAACAAGTTGCTAACAAAGACCCAGATAACCATAGATGAGCTACCGAGAGCTTAATATTATATAGACAAACTATTAACAGCTCACTCACGTACGGATAATCCTACATAATATATAATCATTGGTAAACCTAATTTATAATAATAATTGATATGTCAAAATTATCTCAACGTTATTTTTTTTACTTCTATTGAAGTAATTTTCTTGATCACATAGTGTTTAAAAAGGACCATTGTCTTTAATAGGCAACCCAATTCCATTAAGGATCATTCACACTAAACAGTCGCAGCTTATTACTAAAAATTTTATTTATTGTTTTAATAGAAGGTTGTCTAAATTCTTGAGAAGTAGAAAGGTTTGAATTCATTATACTTAGGTCTGCGGTGAGATGTATTGTTTGACGACCTGCTGTTCGAACCATTAGACATCACAGTCATTTATGTTTCCCAGGTGCTAGGGTTTTTGCCCAATAATTTGAAGAGTCAAAGCTTGATATTATTGTCGTGGCTATGATCATAGAAATTGATTGACGAGTCATATGACTGGGAAATTTTTGCAATGATTATCTAATTTATACCGTGTTCATTTATAGGCTAGCTTTTACAGTAGTGCTGTTAAAAATCTGATTACCTCTTTATTCAGGTTTTTTCAAATAGACTTCTTGTTACCTAATTTCAACAGATTTACATGATCATTTTTCTATATAACTCCAACATTGTACAGATGTCTTATGACCTGTCAAACATGTTGATGTGATTGTCATTGCAGGTATTTTAATTCGATTATTAGTAACAGTTGTCATAATATGAATTTTTTTTTTTTTTTTTTTGTTGTTAAAGTCCCTATCTTGGAAGTTACGATGTTTTTATTTAAGTATATTAAGACACAGCATGCCACCAAGGGTTCACCTTACATTGGAGGTTACAACTAGCCACACGTGCACTTTTGGTGCCTAATTTAAGTAGTCCGCTTACACATTACTATATAAGTTTTACACTAGTTGTCATACCTGCAAGCCAACTAGGGGTCTTGCTTATTTAAACTCTTTGCATATGCAATTCTCCTTGTATCATGGGAACATCTTAAGGCACTACCCATCCAAGTTCCCGATGCTTATCAGTCTTCTTAGAACTACTTTATCCTTGATAGGAAACTTACTAGAGCTTTTATGTCCCACACATCTAGACCTAGTTTTATGCAACACGTTATAGTTACCTAACACTTGCAGTCACAGGGGTTATCTGTTTAACCACTACATTACACTATTTCTACCTTTGCAAAGTTCACTAGAATCCCAATACCCATCTTTCCGACATCTTCTCTATCATCCTTTACTAGTCGCAACTCGGAACCGTCAGTCTCATTTATCCAGACTACTAATCCAGATAGCCTGGTATGGTATACTTCTGTATCTTTTTCCTCCGGTATACCCGGTGACCTGGTTGGTTATGTGCTCCTCTACACATATTTGTCGTTCAGTTTTAATCTTCAGTTCTTATGAAGGTGTTTCATGGGCTTCAACCGGTCCAATGGTACTGTCAAAAGTTTATGCTACCTCTTTACTTGGGAATTTCCAAGTGGGTTTCTGTCACCTCAGTTCCTTAGTCTTTTATGCCTGGTAGACTTATCGTAGGTTTGTACCAAAGTCTTATGCAACACCGGTAACATTCCTCTATGTATGTATAATGTTACACTTCGCATAAATGCCTTGAGCTCCCAAAGCCGGGGGAACCCAGCCTGGTGTACCTGGATAACAGCCACATGAGGCCAACTGATCGACAGAAGACAGTTACCATAACACAGATATAATTTCCAAATTTCATCGTAGGTGGGATTTGAACCTTAGACCTGCCACTTGGAGGATGACAATCCAACCACTATACTAGGATCGCTATCTTCTCATAATATAAATATTATATAGGTGATTATTCAAATTTTCATTATTAATAGGATTTGAACACTTAACTTACTATTTGAGAGGTTGACAACTTGATCATTTCACTAGATCATCACACTTCTTTTTACTAAATTTGATATTGAGTTAATAAGATATAAGAAATAAATAATTAAATCTTATATTAATATATTAATTTACATAATTCTTTCTATCAATCACTAAAACACAAAACTTACAGAAACAAAAATCAAGAATAACAGAAAAATCACTGTCAAAATTGTATTTAAAAATTTAACAAAAAAGAAAGAGTTGTGAAAATAAAACTAGCAAACAGAGTAGCAACAGAAAATAAGTCAAGAAGCAAGTAAAGAAAAGACAAACCTTTCAAACGAACCTCAAAAACCAAAATTTTGGAGAAATAGCTTAGACCTGAAATCACAGATCTGTTTGAAACACGTGAGTATGTGAAGAGATAAACAAATAAGCACATACAAATATAGACAAAATAAACACGTAAGTATCACAGAATGCACGTGATTATAAATAAAGCAGCACAGAACATAGTTACAGCTGACACAGACAAAAGCAAAAGAGTCAATGATGTTAAAATTGGTAAGTGAAAGAGTAGAGGCAATACTAAAACTTATAGGCAACAAAGAATTAGAGAAAGAATTAGCAAATAGAAACAACCATTTCAATGTAAGAGATATAGTAATAGCAGTATTATGGAAAACAGATTTAATGAAAACAGTAATAATAAGAAAAATATATGAAGCAATAATTAAAATAAATATGAGAGACCCAACAAGTGTAAAAAAATAGACAGAAGAGATAAACTGCACAAGCCAACACCTATTAGCAGTACAAAGTATGAGAAGCAAAAAAGTCCAAACAGTACCGAAAGAAGAAAACAACATATCAGAATTGTATATAGAGAAAATAAGACAAAAGACAGAAGCGGTAGATGTAATAATAAATGAAAAAGAGATATAACAAAATACAAGTTTAGAAGAGAAAGAGAGACAAAAAAGAAGAAAAAATAAAGAAGTTGCAAATACAGAAACAACAAGCATAATGATTGAAGAGACAAAAATAGACAACTATATAGAAGAAAGAATAAAGACATCAAAGACAGACATAATGCAAGAAGATTATAAAGACATAATCATGGCAATTAGAAACTAAGAAGAAACTGAGATGAATAAAAGAGATGGAATCTATGAAACAGAACAACCAAAAAACAAAGATAAAACTATAAAAGAACCACTAGAACGAAGCATATGGTCACTCTCGAACAGAGAATGCAGTAATGAAAGAATGTATACAGCAAAAATACTAGCATACAACGTATCAGGCAGTTCACCAGATAAAAGGACAAAATTCGTCGACAGATTGCTAGTATTTAACAAACATGTTAAAGAGGTCAAAGAAAAGTTTAAGAGGGATAACACTTGGATTATTGTCATATTCGACTGTAAATACAGCAGAGAAGAGGCAATTAACAAGATCCAAAGAAAACATAATAATTGGTTTAGAATGATTCCAGACATAGATGAGTCAGAAGAGGAGAAGACCAAAAAAGATAAGAAGTTAAAGCAGAAAAAGAAGCTGATAAAAGAAAAGAAAAATAGAGAAGAAACTAAGAAAACAGAAGACAATTTATACAATCAAGGAGAAGGAAGCATAGACAAAGAAAGTAAAGAAAACACAATAGCAGTAACAGTATAGGACCTGCCAAAGAAGATGACAGAGTACGAAATTAAGTACTTAGTAAGAAGAATAGGTAAAGTAACAGAATGCAGAATCCGAAGAAGTGCATACAGAACAATACCAGTAATAAAAATAAAGAGAGAAGAAGAACAAGCACTTCCATGAGTAATTCCCTTAAGAAATGAAAAGTTAGCAAGAATGACAATAGGTAAAGAAGAAGAGGAAAAGAAAAAAGAAAGAAATCAATTCACAGCAAGACTAATAGAAATATCCAAGAGAATCTCTGAACTGATTCTACTACGAGAGCTCAAAACCAAAAAGGCAATGGCAGTATACATTCCACCAAACAGATGGGGAAGACCAAAAAATTATGCAGTAGTGTCATTTAAAAGTC